CAACCATAGCTCCTGGTTATTATGTGCTCCTTCGTACCAAGCTGGGGCAGGCACGCACTCCATGTCAGCCAGCCGGTCCCTGCATGACTGTGCGAGATGTTGAACCTGTTTCTTAGCATGTGCGAATGGGGAGTACCTGCGCCAAAAGATACAAAAGCCACAGATCAAAGGTTAACCCATGGGGGGGGCTGGGATTACTTGGTCCCTCTTTCCCTTTTTCGTCACTGGAATCGCTCGTGAAGGAGAAGAGTTTGGGAAATTGAGAACCGTCCCACATCCAAGAAGTGGCCCATCTGTAAGCATCAATCCATCCTACCCATCAACCACAGGGGTGGGTGGAGAGGATTACAAGTTTCCCTGGGTTCCAACCTTAGTCCTATCTTGACTGGGAGTGCGGGCCTTCCTGCTGAGCTGCGGCAGGCACAGGCTTCCAAAGGAAAAGACCGAACTAGTACAGACAACTGCTATTTGAAGTCATGGCCATTTTACTTTGGTGGGGCCGGTCGAAAGGCGACTCAGCAAATGCATCCACAATCTTAGTGACGTCTTGCAGGTCTTCCAAGAGAGTTGTATGAATCGGTGGGGGTTTGCTAGAAGCCCGTCTGGTTTTTGTTGGACCAGCTGGCAGAATAATTCAACGCCTGCCTCGTGCTATGCAGCCACATTGGCCGGTAGTATTTTAGCCGCGAGCCCCTGAAGCGAGTGTGTCCATTGAGTTCGGAAAAATCAGATTTGGCCAACCATAGCTCCTGGTTATTATGTGCTCCTTCGTACCAAGCTGGGGCAGGCACGCACTCCATGTCAGCCAGCCGGAGTTGTCAAAGGCGGACCCTGCGTGACTGTGCGAGATGTTGAACCTGTTTCTTAGCATGTGCGAATGGGGAGCACCTGCGCCAAAAGATACAAAAGCCACAGATCAAGGATTAACCCATGGGGGGGGCCTGGGATTACTTGGGCCCGTTCTTGGAGCTGGGGGCTTTGAGTCAAAGTGAAGGCAGGCTCGACCTCCCAGAAAAAGGACACGCGCGGAGAAGACCAATCGTCTTGGGGAAGTAAGTTGGTCCTCTCCCCTAGCCGCAGGTCACTGGAATCGCTCGTGAAGGAGAAGAGTTTGGGAAATTGAGAACCGTCCCACATCCAAGAAGGGGCCCATTTGTGAGCATCAATCCATCCTACCCATCAACCACTGGGGCGGGTGGAGAGGATTACAAGTTTCCCTGGGTTCCAACCTTGGTCCCTGCTTGTTGCATTGTTGGCTCGACTGATTGGTTTCAGATTGGGTCTGTAGCTAGGATTCAGACACCTAATTGGTCGTTGTTCCAGATGCCTGTTTGGGGCACTAAGCTGAATGAGGCTTTGATTCTGGAGCGGGGGGCTAGAAACGGCAATTGAAATGCTTGCTAGCCGCCACAAAACTAGAAGAACAACAAGTGGCTGGGTTCCAATTTCCAACCTTCATCCCTGCTTGTTGCATTGCTAGCTCGACCAAGAGTGTGCGCCTTCCTGCTGAGCTGCGGCAGGCACAGGCTTCCAAAGGAAAAGACCGAACTAGTACAGACAACTGCTATTTGAAGTCATGGCCATTTTACTTTGGTGGGGCCGGTCGAAAGGCGACTCAGCAAATGCATCCACAATGTTAGTGACGTCTTGCAGGTCTTCCAAGAGAGTTGTAGGAATCGGTGGGGGTTTGCTAGCAGGCGGTCTGGTTTTTGTTGGACCTGCTGGCAGAATAATTCAACGCCTGCCTCGTGCTATGCAGCCACATTGGCCGGTAGTATTTTAGCCGCGAGCCCCTGAAGCGAGTGTGTCCATTGAGTTCGGAAAAGTCAGATTTGGCCAACCATAGCTCCTGGTTATTATGTCCTCCTTCGTACCAAGCTGGGGCAGGCACGCACTCCATTTCAGCCAGCCGGAGTTGTCAAAGGCGGACCCTGCGTGACTGTGCGAGATGTTGAACCTGTTTCTAGCATGCGCGAATGGGACTGGCAAGGAAGCAAAGACCTCAAGACCTCAAATCCGTCTCCCCACCATGCTTTAGGCCGGCATAGCTTGGCCAGTTGCTCACCTGAAGTTGGAAGCCGTGTGCTGTACTCATTAAATTTGCTTCAGAACGATGGGTCTGTAGCTAGGATTCAGACACCTAATTGGTCCTGTTTGGGGCACTAAGCTGAATGAGGCATTGATTCTGGAGCGGGGGGCTAGAAACGGCATTGAACTCACGATTGAAATGCTTGCTAGCCGCCACAACACAAGAAGAACAACAAGCGGCTTTGGTTGGGTTCCAATTTCCCACCTTCATCCCTGCTTGTTGCATTGTTAGCTCGGCTAAGAGTATGCGCCTTCGTGCCAAGCCGGGGTATGCACCCTTCATTTCTGCCCGCCAGCATATCAATTTAGTCGCAGAGTGTACGTGACTGTGAAAGATTTTGGGCCTTTTCCTTGGCATTCAGCACTAACCTCAAAGGTTGTGCCTTTTGGTTGATTGCCACGGGATTCCTGGATTTGTGGGCGGGTCCAAAACACTTGGTTTAGTTGGGCAGGTGTTCTCTTGAACCATTCTCTTTGGAGGCGACAGAAGAGGTATCCGCCCCAAGTGCGTGCATCCGAGTAAAACGATTCCTATTTTTCCCACTTCGTGGAAGCTCACGTGAAGCGTCGAATCTAGCTAGAACTAAATCGCAGCACAAGCTGGGGACACTCATAGCAGGGTCCATGTGATCGAGCTGGGAGCATGCGATTGGCGCACCTCAGAATCGAGTATTCGATGATCCACGTGGGCTCGTGATGTCCCTGCAAGTGTGCGCTTGTAGCATTTCGTTGTTGTATTTGCCTTCCTGATTTGTGCCAGGAATTTCTGAGCAGCAGCTTGCAGAAGTGTCCAGTCACTTGCAGTGGAGAAAAACAAGTTAAACCAATTGATTGAGGTACGCAAGACATCGGGAGGGTTGGAGTTAGCGCTCCTTGTGTGAAGGAAAGGTCTGCTACACAAGTGATTCCGCAGGGGCATCCAAGGGCTTCCACAGAAGGTCATTGTGAATCTTGCGATGGGGTAGGACGACGCTCACCTTTTTCTCAGTCTGCTCCTGCGACAATGACAGAGCTCTCTAAAGCCGTCGATGCAGTAAGTTAAGGTGCATCTCAGTTTGGAGGATAGAATCATTCTAGCTCAAGAGCCGGCAAAATGTCATCGCTTGCTAGCGCGACCTTTGGAACTGTCCCATGAATTGTGCGATTTGGAGCACAAGATGGTTCAAGATGATTCAAGCATAGCATCGAGTTCTTCTACTGCACCTCAGTCCACTGCATTCCTACTGCCGTGGCGGACAGGCTCAGCATAGCTTAATCTTCACTGTGGAGGACAACCGAAGAGCTGTCGCAACCTGCTTTAAGCTACCAAGCAAACAAACCAAGTTTTGTTTCTGCTCCTGGTGACGTCGCCTAAAGCCCGGCCATGGTTCATCAAGCTTAGTGACAAAGATTCTGCGGTGTCACCATGTTGAAACAGAAAGTGGTTTAGGCCTTTAGGCATTTGGCCCTTTCCAACACATGGTTTTTTGCTCTCAGATGCCTCATTGGTCAACACCATTGTACAATCCAAGCCAGTCGACAGATTCCCCCTCCATCGCACTGGGCGTCCAAGTCCAGAATTTGTGCATCAAAAAGCGCCCTAGGCATGTGCCTTGGAAGTTCCATGGGGCAGATCGTCACTGTCGTCAGATTTGAATCTCAAAATCTTTCGAAGCCGTTTTTCACAGCTTGCATCTTGCTCCAACCAGCCAAGCCACGCATTTTCGCAGAGCATCAGTCGCATTGGGATCTCTTTGACCGGATTACGTGGACCGGACGGAGGGTCCACAAGTCCAGGCGGAGGTGCGTGAGTGCCATCAGACTCAAGTTGAGCGGGCTGTGCACTTCGGCCCTCGGATGAGCGCCATCGAATTTCCACGCAGCTGGTCACTTCAAGGATAAGTAAGGCCACCCGGCCACCAACTTCACAAGTGAAAATGGCCTTGCAGTCCAATCGACAAGTCAACATGCAATAGATCTGTCAGAGATGGAGGACATTGTAATGGATGCCGTTTCGTTTCAGCGCAAGACAATCGGTCAAGGGTCCAGCCTGTGGTTGTCAAAAGATCCTTGGCTGGAATTCCGTTGTTTCCATGTATCCTCCCCCTAAGCTGAATATTTCCAGAAGCTCCTCCTTCACCCATTGAACTTGACATGGGAAGTCTCTAGCCGGGCCATACATGAGACTTTTGAGCAACCCGCGATGAGTCCTTCTGACTGCCAGGTCGTCACCACTCATTGCTTGAAAAGGCTCAAGGTTTGAAGTTTCAGGTCTACTCTGATTCCATGCCAGGCCTTCAACAGCCGTCTCAAAGCTTCTCAGAGTCTTTCATGGAAAGAAGTTGCGCAGCCCCAAAAAGACAACTGGCTCCCACCAGCCCCATGCATTTCCTCGGAGGGAGTTTCGGCCTTACAAGAGTGAAATTGACTCTTTGGCAGCTCCAAAATGCATCAAAAAAGGCTTCTTGGCCGCAAGCTTTGCACCAAATTCATTAAAAACTTGATTTGGCATCTCCTCATGGTCAAGCACTTAACTTTGGAAAGGGCATCAGAGGGGAATTGGCTTGTTGGTTTGTGCTTTGCAACACATAATTTGGCCCACCTTGGATATGTGAGCTGTGGACATTTTTGACATTGATGCGTTGTTTTTGGTTTGTGCTATCATGCTATAGTGCTCTGTGTGGCATACCAGCTCAAACAGACAGACAGCCAAAGCAGCTGTTTCAATCGCAAACCGAACAAAAGACAATTCAACCGACCGATTGTGCAACAGTTCATGGTCAGATATTGTTAGTGCATGCACCTTCTCAATTGGTGTGCAAACTCTGTTCTGTTCACACAAGTCATTCTACAGATGTGCTTTCGGTTCATTGGTTCTTGAGAAGTTCCAACGGAATTATGCAACACTTTTCCAACGTCCAGAGCAGGTTCCTCTCTCTCTCTCTCTGTCTTTCTTTGGGGTTTTGTCTCTCGCTGCTTCCTATCTCATGGGGCAAGCTTTTGGGTATGAAGGTCGAATTCGTGAAGAGATGCAAGAGACTTGGAGAGCAAAATTCGTGGTTCTTTTGGGGGATGAAGAGGGCTACATGTTGGCCTTCATTGGATGGACTGATTTTTCCTTGTGATGGACTGACTCATTTTTGTCAGTGGACATGCACGTTTCGCATTGGACTAAGGCAGCCATCCGAAAAGAGGCTGCACACATTTTGCTGAGCGGGCGCTATTTGAAGGTGGAAGATCGACCGATCGACCTCGGGCTGTTCCTTTGTTTCATTCGAGGGTTCCGTGTTGACCAGGGTTCTTTGGGGTAGAATATGTTTGGTCAAGCTGCGGTTGCTATCCCTGGTTTGTTTAATGCCTCAGGGTCATGGTCAAAAGGAGAACATAAGAGTTGCAATTCCTCTTCCACAAAGCCCACGAAACCAGATTGTAGTTACATTGTGATTGACGGCACGCAACACTTGATTCAACTCAGTTTCTCCAGGTGAGATGTCTCAAACAACATCAACATTTTTGCATCTATAATCATTTATTTAATACCTGGTAATACACCTCAGATCAGACATCACTCTGCATGAAGGACCGTTTTGTTTGTTTGTTTGTTTGTTTTTGTTCGCCCCAGGCGTCATGGCAAAGGCCAGGTCCTGCAGCCTTGGCGCAAGTCCTGGAGCAGATCTATCAACACAGAGACTCGAAGACTCGACGAGAACGATTCCACCAGACCGACACGCTTCCTCCTTCGTCCTGAACGTCCTTCGTCCGATCGGAGGTTCTCTGGTTCTTTCGCTTTTGGATCTTCAGGTCCACGCGGTTTCAGGGTCTGGAGCCGGTGTTGAGCGTGACGCCGTGAAACACGCGCGGTTCGGGGCGGTCAATGGTGCAGTCAACGGTGCAGTCCTCCGCAGCGAGGCAGTGCCATAGCGGACCGGAAGGAGGAGGTGGACCGGACTGAATAGCTACGGTGGATTGAGAGTAGATGGCACAATGACAGATGGCACCAGTGACCCCAAGGTCGTGTCCAAAACCGGAGATCTCCATCCATGCCAGACATCTTGGGGTGCCAGCGAAATCGATCCTTTGAAAAAGCATTGTATATAGAGAACATGATTTTTGAGCGGGCTGGTGAGCCGCTCGAGCCTGGCCTGGTCAATGATTCATACTTTTTTTTGTGGGTTGGGAAGCCAAAAGAAGAAATACTTGACAAGCCTTTGATGTGGCAAGCCACGGCTGCAGAGTGGAAAGGCCTTTCCAACTCTGAAACTAATGTAGTGACCATGGGGTCCCTTGCTCACCTGACATGCTCGAAAGGTTTGCATCCATAGCCGTGCTGGGGTTGGTGTTTGCAGTACATCATACAATCCAGCAAGACCGAATGGTCTAGAAATCTTTGAGCTGAGACTCCATGTCATGTGGTGAAGAACTTTGGCCATGCGGCCGCGCCCCAAGGACATGCTGCGACCATGTTTGAGCTTTTTCGGAAGACTGCAGAAGCTTTGCCTCTGAAATACCCCTTGAGCTGCTCGAGCGCAGAGTTCAAAAGAGAAGTGGAAAGGTGTATGAGGATGAACGATAAACTACTTTTTCCCGAAACTTAACGGGGTTAAATTGCTTTTGGTTAATTCTTGCTATTTTGAGAGGATTTGCGTTGTTTTGTGATGCTGGCAGTGCCAATTTCACATATTGCATTTCCAGCATCTATGAAAGACCAACCAGGGGCATGGACAACACTGTCTGAACAAATTGCGCTGCCTTTCGTCTCTCTCTCTCTCTCATTTCCAGGTTGGTGATGTTTCTGTGCAGCTCTGTGCTGCATGTTTCGCTGTGGTCACAGCAGATCCGTTCTCCTAAGGCAGTGAGTATCTGGTGATGTGCGACTTAAGGGGCTGCTCCACCGTCATGGATGTGGCAGCCATCTTCTTGGAGAGAGTGGTGGCACAGCATCTGCACCAGGAGTCTTGGATCTCTTGAACAAGAAACCCTTTTGGACTGATGTCAAAGCAAAAACGCATACAGAACTGATTTCCATCTACAATTCTCATCCGAAGGCCGTACTTCGACACGAGCAGAAGGGCGGTGTCAATACAACTAGTTTACCTTCGCGCGTTTGAGGACCGGTCTGAGCTGGCACCGCTGTTTCGTTAAAAAGAAGATCCAGGGGGTCAATTGGTAGGTGAAACGTAGAATAGATTGCGAGACATGGTCAACCTACCAGGGCGAAGCAGGCTGACCCCACAGCCGATTGACTAGCTCCATACAATGGAAAGCATCACCTTGTAAAGAAGAGAAAGATAGAGAGAGAGAGAGCGCGCGCTAAAGATGCTGGTGATGCAAAAGGTGCATTTGACCAAACGCGACACCAACACATATCTTGATATTTTTTTAACGATCTTCGTCCATCCACGGCATTTCTGTCGCCTGAAGACCCACGGCATTTCGACGACCTCAGGAAGCGGATCAGAGACTGTGGTCCACAGCGCGAGCGGGTCATGGAGCAGTCTCGGCCTTTTGCTGGGGTATCTCCTACATCACCTGCACATGTTGACGCTTGGGTTGGATGGTTGGAGAGGGCGTGAGGGGTGTATTTCCGGGTGAAAGCAGGACGCATTCTGGCACAAGCTCCGAATGATTTGGCCACTGCAATTGGCTATGATCCTGTGAGTCCTGTATCCATCTATCCATCTATCGATGCTGTGTATCTCAATCTTTACTGTATCCCTATCTCCATATCAATATCAAGAATCAGTATCCATCAAGCAATCTATCAAGCAATCAAGCAACATCAAGCAGAACCAATCAATTGAGCACCTCGAGCACCGTGGCGCCTCTGGCCCAAAGGCTGCGTGGGCCAATACGAGCAGAAGATCAAGTTCCCTCTGGGTGGATGTGGCTGTAGCCCGAAGCACACGAGCCCTTCACGAAGGGTCGCATGGAGCAATGACGGGTCACAGCCGGTCGTGGTGGTCACAGCTGGTGTTCTACGGGAGTTGGGAGCCCAGCTGTGGTAGTTCCACAGGTGAAAAAACGGTACCACTCAGCTGGAAGTCACGTGTAACATCATGCGTCTCCATGTGGTTCTCCACATGGAGATGCATTTCGGAAGACCATGAAATCCGAAGACCAAGCCGAGGTTTTCTTCCACTTCCATGTGAGTTCCAGGGAGAGTACGTGAAACAGAGTTTCTTGACCATGATGGTACCTATGTTGAGGGGAACTCAAAGTATACACCCTATCCTGGAAACCCAACAAACAACCAGGCACAAGTCTGGATGGAACTCCCCAGTCCCAGCCGCTTCCTATGTAAAGAATCTCAGGCTGGCGCCATATTGGGTTCCAACCAGACATGTTCCTGGTTGGGACTGAAACCTCCAGGAATATGTGTCTCGAGTGGATGAGCAGAGTATTGTCTTTCCAAAGCTCTTGGGTCTCAAATGATAAAAACGACATTCTCTGCCCCTCAAACTAAGACGCAAGAGTTCTACTTTTCTGGCCAATAAAAGTGGATGTCGGCCATGGAAAAATAAACAGCAAAGCCTTTGAGGAACCGAGAATGTTCACACAGATTCACAAGCGCTGGTGATAGATGATCCAGACTCCAATGTTTCGTTGAAGATTGCATCACTTGGATCAACCTCTGAAGCTTTTGAAGGCAGGGCATTTCTGCCCACAAAAGGACGTGAAAAAGACGTAAAGAGTCGGCTGGTTAGCTCTGCATGGCTGGAAGGCCCTGATTTGGTGAGTTTTTCTCTCAGCTTTCAGACTTGGTCGCGCCCAGTGGAACGGCATTTGTTCGCCTTCAAAATATGGTCCCAACCAGAAACAAGGGGTTTGGAGTGGCCATTTGGGGATCCTTTTACATCACAAGTGCTTGGAAGTGTCATTTAACTCCAAGTAGAAAGCCCCCCGCGCCGGCCCCGATTCTTGGGTCTGGTGTCGTCTGCTCTGCGTCTTTGTTCCGAGAGAAGGGCAGATGTTCCGAGGCGTTGGCCCAAATGCGGACACGTTGGGCACAGGGAAGGTTGTGTTTTTTTGCCTTTGCCCAGACGCGACCCTGGACCCTGCTAAGTAGGGGCCGTACCCTCATATGGAGGGGTCCGGACCCGAACCAATCCCTATGGTTTTGAGGGACCAGTCGGGCTGTTTGGAGCGTCTGGGTGGCACAACAAGGCGAGTCGTCGTTTTTGGGGGGTTCCGCAGAACCCATTCTCCACCGAGGTTCGGACGTCCGCGGACGTTCCGCTCCCGCACACGACGCAGCGCCAGGACCTGGCGCTGGCCGATCTGCGCTGCGCGAAGCAGGGCATTCTGCCGCTGAGCGCCTTAGCGGTGCGCTGCGTCCTGGAGCGCCTCACCTCGTCCGCACCGTCCGCGTCCGCGGCGTCGGCCACGTCGGCCACGCGCTACGCTCAGGAGGAGGCGACGCCCGGGTTTGGGGTGCGTTGGGGTTCCGGGAGCTGTGGCGACCACGGAGTCCACGCAGTAAACAGCGAACGGCGAAGGCGGTGGTGGTTGGAAAGTGAGGGTGAAATCTGCTTCCCTGCAGGTAAGAGTCCACAGTACGCATTAAAACCTGGTTCGGTCCTGACTCATCGAGTAGTCAATTGTAGTCATTTGGGCAAGGACCACAATTGACTACTCGATGAGTCTTCAGGACCAGGTTTAATTGTGTACTGTGGACTCTTGATTAATGCATGCTTGTGGTTTCGGGCATCTGTGGGCTAGGGTTTTGGACCTGAGCTAGACCAGAAGCTCAGTGAAACCAAGGTTCCTTGTTCATGTCACCGCGTCGCCCGGTCAGATTGATGGCTTCGAAAAAGCTTCGAAAAAGTCGACCGAGTCGAGAAATCCTGTAAGTCTCTTTACAAAGACCCCCAACACCCAGCTGATTGGTGGTTCATCCTTCTGACATGCGAGGGGGCCTTTTGGATCTCCAAAGCACCAAGATATCGTATCCGACTTCCATTTCTTGCCAGGTGAATACGACCTCTATGCCTTTGGGCGTGCTAGGTGCGGGACTGAATGCAAGTACTCTAAGCCATTGAAAAGAAAGACGCATGCAGAAAGAAGGTAAAGAGGTGCAACATAAATTCATCCCGCCAAGATGAATATGACATGGCTCCCCTTTCAGATGCAACGACTGGATTAACATGGAGATCAGGTCCAACATGTGTTTGCGTCTCAACTCAGAAGCTTCATTGTTGGGAAGCAAGAAACATCGACGGTTTCTGCACCATCACGGAAAAGAAGATTGTTCATCCTTTTCGTGCAAGAGATGCACCCATTCTTATTTTCATCTCATTTTAAAGCTAATCTTCCGTCATCTCTCCTTCACACTTATCTTCATCTCATCTTCCTCACCCGCTCCCCTTCGATTTCTTTGTTTTCTTCAGCTCCCGGGTCTTGATCTGTTGCACGTTCGGTCTGGCTTGCCACCGGTCACCACCGGTCGTTGAGCTGTTTTGGGGAGGAACACTGAGCAGCGAGGAACACCGGTGGACCTCGCTACTGTCATGCAAAGAACAGTATTCACAGTGCTTCGCGCACGAAGCTGTCCGCACGGAGTGTGTGCGTCTGTTCGGGCAGGACACACGGAAGAACACACGCACGATGTCAATAGTCTGTCTCGGTCGGTCTGGGTGTCTGTCTCTCTGTCTGTCTGTCTGTCTGTCTGCCTGCCTGCCTGCCTGCCTGCCTGGCTGGCTGGCTGGCTGGCTGGCTGGCTGGCTGGTCTGTCTCTCTGTGTCTGTCTGTCTGTCTCTCTGTGTCTGTCTAGGTCTGTCTGGGTCTGTCTGGGTCTGTCTGTCTGTCTGTCTCTGTCTGTCTCTGTCTCTGTCCCTGTCACTGTCTCTGTGTCAAAAACCACATGCGATTGTTCCCCCAAAAAAAACACCAAAAACCACATGCCAGTCACCTCATCCAGTCGGACTGGGCACACGACCGAACACATCCACGATATCAATCGTACAGTATCCCACGGTTTGCCTCGACGTTTGCGATTTCTGCGATGTCCGTAATGCATTCTCCCCCGGCCGACATAACCGGCATCGCATATCCATAGTGCAGTGCCCCGTGGCTTCCCGACACGTCTGTGATGTCAATTATGCGGTCTGCCAATTTTGATAAGCATTGAAAAGCGCAGCATGTCTAGGAGAAAAGTGCACCCCCTCCAAGCTAAAGCTTAGGATTTATCTAGCCGGATTCCTTGCGATGTGTATGTGCACGAGCTGACACAACGTGCTTGGCACCTCCGGTGCGGGCGGACTTCACGTCTTACCCGGACCCGGACTTTGGACTGTGGACTCTTGATTTCATCAATCTTCCCCCTTGGTGAGGAGGTTTACTCAGGCCTTCTTGTCCTCCAGAGTCGACTTCGGATCCCTTCGAACGGACCGGCTTTCGAACGGCAGACCCGAACCGGATGTGGGCGACGTCCGCTAGGCTCGGAGGCTCTCGCGGCCAGTGATCGGCCCTGGAACTGGCCGGAGCTGCGGTCCTTGTACGGAAGCTGAGCGTCCAAGATCTGGTGATTCACAAAAAAGAACCCCTCTGGTGATGGTTTGGTCGGTGGGGGAGGGTGGCGAAGAGGTCCGATCTGCTCATTTTTGGGGGGGAAGAAGATGAGGACACGAGGCTGAAAAATGATCCCAAGCCATCCGGACGTGCCTGTTCTTCTGTCAGCATCTCCTCGGATTGGTTTGGGGGTACGAATTAATTTCACGAACTTGTTAAATCTTAGGGCCCAGGCAACTTCTTCCAATTGTGCTCCCCCTTCGTTGAGGAAGGCATGCTTTTGCCACCACGGGCTATGAGCGGCGCCAGCGACAAAGCAAGGGCCCTCAGTCTGGTAGTGGTTTTCATCCAGTTTGACCAAGAAGGATTCATGCGTGGCACAGTCAAATCTCCATGGTTGACGGTTCATGATGAAGTCACTATGATATAACTGGCATAACCCTCAAGATTCACATCAACTACATAGTTTTCTGAACTGTCAACCCCAGTTCGAGTTAGGGCGCAAGAGACCAAGGTGTGGTGGACAAACCAGGGCGGCTGTGGAAGGATAGAAAGGAAGAAACCCGTTGTGCAGAGTCCACCAAAGACTCGGGGGAAAGACTAGGCATTCGAAGGCTTGTAGGTTGTAGCCGCTCAGTTCATTTTTAGATCCTTCCTCTGTTGACCCATGCGTGGGAGCGCATTCGCACCAAAAGCCGGCTTGACCTCGGCGAAATCGCTCAGTGCTCGAAGGCCCCCCCCCACTCATGAAGCTTCTAAAAAGAAATTCTGGAGAGCTACATATAGCAACTCAGTAGCTGAAATCATAGTAAAATCGTGGGACACAGAGGAAACCATCTGTAGATTTTAGGTCAGTAGGCGAGCCGACATGTCAATGTTGACTCCACAGTCCACAGTTGAGATTCGACCGGAGCCGCGGAATTGCGTGCAATGCCAAAGAGAGACGATGATTGCAGAGACGAAAGGCCATTCCAAGCTGGACGATGTCATGAAGCATCGCCGAGAGGTTTGTGCGGAGTTCGAGTCACAGCCTACGGCCACCACTGCTGATGCGACCGCCACTTCTAGGGAGAACCACAGTCGAACCCGGACAGCGCATGACCTGGTCACGGCCACCGGGCGGCATGCGACCAGCAACCGAGAGCTTCAGGAGCTGCTGACTGAACGCCGTCAGCGGTGCCAAGTCTTGGAGAGTCTCCCACGGCCGGGCGGGGCGGATGCCCTTTGGAACCGAGAAGTGGATCGAAGGAGCTCGGCACTTTGCCTGGAAAGCACGCCCGGCGATCATGTGGCGGACTTCAAATGGGATGATCCAGTGGATCTGCGGCCTCAGGGCCATCAGGGCCATCAAGGCCATCAGGGCCAGTGGTCGGCCCACCAATCCGGCCAGAGCCAGCGGTCGAGCCGGCCAACTGCGCTGCATGCCGTCCGTTCTTCCACTTCGAGCGGCAGCGACCTTTCTTCGGGGGCCTCACACCACGGCTTCAACGGAACGAAGGGAGACATCCACGGAACGAGCGTGTGTGGGAGCGAAGTGGGGCAGGTCGAGTTGTGTTGGAAGAAACTGCTTCAACGAGATGATGGAGATCGAGGTGAGAACACGGAGGTTCAGGCGATGTCCGTGGCTCGAGGTCTGCAAGAAGTCTTGAGGACACACTTGGGGCATTTGGAAGAGGAGCAGAGGACCAGGATGGCAACGGCTTTCACTGAGAAGTACTTGGCGTATCTAAGATTCGAGAAAGACCACTTGCTGCTGGTCATTTCAATGCTCCTGCGCTATCACCACCCAGCAGTGCTTGCAGAGTTGTCTAAAGGCTTGGACTGTACACTGGATGAGCTAAGCCGAAAGTTGGGGCCTCTGCAGTTTTTGCTTGGAGAAATGGCTGAAGCAGAAGCTGGTCAGGAGTGTTTGGAAGGGCTATGGGAGCTCTGCAGCTTCTCCCTTGACCACAGGAGTGAAGTCATTGTGCTATTCCAGCTGCTAGCAGCTTTAGCCCGGCCTTTTGTTCGCGTGGACCCAGGCCCAGAGTCCTTTCGTTCACTTCTGCAGGAGGCGGATGAGATGCTGAAGGCCACTCCCCGCTCGGTGCTCTTCTCCCTCTCCACTCGACCCACGGGACCCTCGGGACCCCACGTCGCGGCGGTCCAGCGGGGCCTTGGCTGCTGCGGCTGCCTTCGCGTCGCGCCCGATGAGGTGCTCCAACACGTCTACGAGCGGCCGACGGTGGACTGGAAGCTGGTGGTGGTGGACTTGCGTGACACCGGTGGTGGTGAACACTGTCTGGGGCTTCCCGTGTGCATCCGCCTGGGGCAGATGCTACGGAGACCCTTCCGTGTGGAAGAGATCTTGGAGGTTTTGCCCCAGGATCAGGCCATCCACCTGTGCCTGGTGGATGACGAGCCGGAGGAAGATCAGGCCATTCTCTGTGATCAGCTCTCAAGGAAAGTTCGGCACATTTCTGTGGTGGACGGAGGTTGGAAGGCGTTAGAAGAGATGATCTTAGCCTTGGGCCTCGAGCTTTTGCCTTCCGAAAACGACAAAGAAAATACTCCGGAAGCCAAAGCCAACAATGCTGAGACCGGCCTCTCCTCAGGCTACTCGAAAGGCCTTTCCAAAGGCCTTTCCTCAGGCTCTTCCACCTGGGCCTTTCCTTGGGGTTTTGCCAGGCATGACAGGTCAGTCGAGGCCTGTGATGAGTTGCTTGATCTTTAAAGCTTGCTGTCCAAAGTCGACCCATTTGGGCTTGGCCCCGACCTAGTGGCACCAACTGGTTGCTTCTTCGTCCGTCCGAACGCCGGAGGCTGAGCCTGTAGTTCTTTTGCACGTTTCACCCGTTCCAATTCATGCTTTACCCACCTGTGGTGCTCTTGGCTACAGGTACAGCACAGTAGAAAGGGGCAGAAGATCCTGTGAGTGAACGAACCACCCACTGAATTTTCATAGATTGTGAAGATATCAAGAGAGAAGGTCCACATGACACCGTCTAAATCTGCTGAGGAGAAGAGGAAGCACAGGAGGCAGAAAGGAGGCAGGATCAGTTTGTCCTCTGTCGTTTTCGCCCGGCCGAGAGGGGGGTCGACCGTTCGCGCGTTCCTGACGACGCTAGGCCGGCGACGTCAGCCTCCAAGAAAGCTCCTGGGATCACTTGAGCTGCAAAAGATCCAAAAAGAAACTCATTTGGAGGTGTCCACAAATGGGGGTGTCCCAAAACCGATGATTTATGGATCAAACACCCTGGCACGAGGCTCACTCCCAACACTCCACTACAAGGCCCACCCAAATCATCTGAGAGTTCCTCAACAGCGCGGCTTGGCGCCGGCCAGGTCTCATCCCTACAGCAGCTTTGAGGTGCTCGCGGACGTGGAAAACACGAGCTGCCCGCTCAAGGCGTGGCAGCCGAACTGAACTTCTTCTCAGCCAGCCTTTTGTGGTCCTTTTGGTCGATTCTTTTTTTGAAAAGCGATCCTTGGAGCCATTGGAACTGCCCCGAGAAAGTCTGGACGCCTCGCTGGCCGCTCCGGATCAAGAAGAGACCGACGAGGAGACCTATGGTTCACATTTTGCCTAGGAAGTCCAGTTTGACTCTCCTGTTCCTTTGTGAATTGGACACTGAAATCCGTTCCCAGTCCTGGGCCGAACCGGGCCGAACCGGGGTGTCGACTCGTTCGACTCGTCTGACCCGGACGGAGTCGACGACCCCGCAAGGCGGGAGACCTCGTCCATCCGGTGGAGATTCATCCAGGAGCTGAACGAACGAACGCGGCCGAACGCCCCGAGGGGTCCGAGCGGGGAGACCGGAAGACGGAGGGAGAGCGGAAGACGCCCGAGGCTCGAGGGTTTGGCTCGGAACTCGGTCGGGTGAAGAAAGATGGAACGAGAGTTTGGTTGCCACTCAGCCATCGGGTTTTGTTCGAGAGAACTTCCACTTGGTGATGCAAGCGCTGAATTAAAAGTCGAAAAGACAGCTTCAGTGAGCCATCCAGGTTTTGCAGTGAATATAGTATTGTTCTTGACATTTTTTCTACAAACAGGATTTCTGTTCTTATTGTTCCTTTGTCCTTTGGGAAGAACACCGACGTTTCCGAAGGAATGCTCATGGAGTCGGCGACGGGTGCTCACTACGATATGATCGGGGAGGATTCTGAGGAGCGGGGTCTCGGGAGTGGTGAGAAGCTCCTGTGGGAGCTATCTAGTAGCGATGGCCTCCACCCATCTCCACAGCGAAGAGCGGGGGTCTCTGGAGTCTTCAGAAGCTTTCCAAGACATGTTTCGTTGTTGGGCTCTATCTCCTGTGGGAGTCCAGTCGACCATTTTAAACATGCTCTGACTTGTCGAACGGTGACCCTGAGTCCAGGAATGTCCTGAAACCTTCCCGAAAGTCGAACTGGACTTCCAAGGTCCCTCTATTGAAAGGTGGGGAGGAAACCGTGCAAATTCTACCAGGTAAGATGACATGAGCAAGTTTTTTTGTGCTTTCTTGTGGAGTGAGTGAGCCAATGAGTGCAGTTTGAGTAGTTCTATTGGAATGCGTGCACAGACATTCTGGAAGAAAAACGCTTGGAGTTTCCGAGGCTCAACTGTTGAACTACGATACAGTCTTCCGAAGCCCCAAATGGAGTCCAAGAAAATCCAAGAAATCTAATCAAATAATTTGATGGAGAAAAAGCATTCAAATCAAAAGGCAACCAGACCTGATGGTTCCCAGGCGCTGATGGTTCCCACCAGCCACTGGTGGCTGGCCATGGATGAGATTCTGATTCTGGATGCTCCGGAGTCTTTGGAGGATCCGGTGTCTTGGACACATCTGGATCCACGGAGCTACCGTCGTGCCGTCACCACAGCGTCACCGGTTCCCATGGAGCAGGTGGAGCGGCTGAGCGAGGAGCTGAAGCCAGAGTTCGGGAAGCCCAGGGGTGCGTGAAAAGACCTGCACCCAAGGTGTTGAGCTTGTCAGGTGTCCACCACTGGGAGGGGGAGTTGCGCAACGTCCCAAAGCAAGAAAGAGATGATAAGGGAAGGTTCATAATATAGATACCTTCCCTGCAACGATCATGGAAGTGGACAACCCCGTTTTGGTAGAGGAACACCGTCTTCCAAGGGCCTATTTGTTCCACTTCCAGGATCGTTTCAGGGAGTGTAATGGATGTTTTTGGGGGGTACGGCATGGGGCCATGTTCTAGACACCTGGAGAAAGGATTGCTTGATTGGCCTTACTCAGACTGACTGAAGCTTTGCACAATTCTGCGCACGACAATGCCCTGATCACTCTGGACCGCCACAAGCCTGGACGAATTCTTCCGCCCTTTCTAACTCTTTGTGTCAAGCTTATGTGCATCGCACGGGAGAATTCCAAAGAGTTTTTGCAGATCGGCATGTTTGGAGTCCCCTTTCCAACCTCACTTTGTTGGCCGCACGAGCGGCCACGCCCGGAAACGGCCACGGCCCCATGGATGACGACGTCCTTCCTTCGCTGTCCACTGAAGAGACTCACGGCCAAGGCAGCATCAGATGTTGGCTCCGGGAGATTTGGTGAGGTGGGGATGAGGTGTTGAGTCAGCTGCGAAGGATCTGAACGATGTGTAGAGACGACGGAAGACGGACGACGAATGAATGAAGACGGATAAGACGGAAGGGAAGCCCTCGTTTTCGACGCACAAAACAGGTCGACCCGGATGGAAAAGGACCAGCACCTTCAAAGGGGTCTCCAATGGAAGCCCCAGCCCACTACTAAGGGACCTCCAGACAGGACACCCCTTGAAGGTGCAGGGAGCTGTTGTGTGGGGCTTTGTTTTCAGAATGTCACTTCAACAGGTTGACCTGTTTCGACACGGTTCGGTCCGTTTCACAAAGGCTGTCACCCGGCCATGCACGGCCCCGGCGGCCACGCGCGCGCAGGTCCTCGGAGGCCAAGCTGCATCCGGAGTTCCAGGCTGTGGAGCCGGGCCCCAAGGAGCCTCGGTAGAGGGTTTGTATGGCGCATGCGTTTGGAGCGAGTGGAGCGAGTGGAGCGGGTTTGGCGGGTAGTAGGCGGTTTGAGCGGTTTGCGCAAGAACGGAGGGGTGTCTTGACAGGATGGGTCTTTTGTGATGAGAAGGAAATCAGGGTAGGCATCTAGGTTCATCCTTTCTCTCATCAAAAGCTTTCTGTTTTGCACTTGGATGTCCGTTTCGAGCTCACCTGGCTCAAAAAAAGGTCCAAGGAGGCTGGCTGATTGCTCTTCATTAGAACTTGTACTTCAAGCTGGTTATTTCTGCCTACCCCGCCCTCGCCGTCGTTTGCTAAACACATCACCAACATGAGACAGCGAAGTGTGTGAACAAAATCGAGCAGTTCCGCGAAAACCGGGAGAGCCAAGGATTTGATTCACATCTTGACCTTGGACGGAAGACTCATCTTTACAGTAGCTGCTGATGATTACTTGCTGGACTTTCCTCTTTCAAGCTTGACTCGAAGCTTAACTGCACACTGAAGGGGGACCAGCTTGGGAGAGGCTGATCATCTATATACCAGAAACATCCTTTGCAACTTGCCTTCTCAGAAGCTGAACTGGATGTTGCTGAAGTGGGCTTCAAATTTAAGTCAACGGGCACAGAGCAGGGTTTGCGCTCTAGCTCTCTAGTGAGACTGATGGAAGCCTCATCCTTCTCAACCTAAGCCCGGGCTGAGCAAACAGGGGCGTCCTTGCGTGAATCTACGAAGCATCACCAAGCCTTTTTACACCTCCAGATTGTCCTCTTTTTTGAGTACACAACTCCAGTGGTTCAACCCCACTCCAGATCAATCCGTCCTGTTATATAGTTGCTTGAAACATCACCTCTGTTTGATCATATGTGTTCAAGTCGGCAGGGACCACTGAGATTGAGACAGTCTGAGAGATCCTCAGACGATCACCGATCTGATATCCTCGCCCCATCCACCTGACGGTCGCTCCCTCTCGCTCCCTCTCGGCGCCGTTCCTCCAGTCCGAAACCCGAGGAAAGGTCTCAGAGTCTCTCCATCTCAATGCCCTCTTGCAGCTGGAGCTGGTGCCCAGCAGCGGGATCTCTCTGGATGCCTCGAAGCCCTTGTCGTCTCTGAAGGTTCGCTCCGCGGAACCCGCGCCGCGCGTCTGACTCCGCGCCGCGCGTCGCAAAGCGCTGCAGCGAGGCGTCTCGCGCCTTGTTTTTTCGATGCAGCGAGGCTCTTGGGCCCAGAGAGGTTGACTCATTTGAACGAACTAGTCCTCCGGCCGGAAAGGTGGTTCTGTAAGGACTGCCAGGTGGTCTATTATTAAAAAGACACGAGCCAAAACGGATGGAAGTTGCTGAAAACGGATCCGCGGTACTTTTTTCACGGATGGTGGCCCCCCGCAATCAAAAGGAACACACGCCTCCTCGTGAATCGACGGGGTTGTGGTTTCTCGGTTTCCCCGAACTTGGACGATAGAAAAAAACAGGAAAGTTCAACTAACCAAAACAGACTCCTGTAACATGGTAACTGCAACAGACCAAGCGAAAACTGGACTTTGGACAACCCTCCCTCCCTCGAACTCACCGAGGACGCTCCCCCGCACCCAACCTCCAGGCCGCCCGCGATGCCTCACCCTCTGGGCCTCTGGAGTTGGTGGCGACGCTACGCGTCACCGGGCGGCTCTACGCGCCCTGGGTGCCCCTGGCGGGCGGCGGCGTGGTGCGGGCCTTCGACGAACACCTCGCGCCGGCCGCTCGGGCGGCGGGTTGGAGACGAGAGCCGGGGGCGCGTTCGGTTGGAGCGCTGGTTGGAGCGAGCTCCGAGTGGGATGAAGACAAGGTCGTTGGGTGGGTTTGAAGAGGCCAGTTTTGGAGGCGGGTTCAAGGGCCAACCAGCAAGCCCAAGGCGTGTATTCATGCAGTAGCGAGCGCGCGAAAAGGGCCCATTCACTGGCATTTACTTTTTTTGGGGCCACTGCCCTCCTTTGTAGGGGGATTAATAGCTGCACCTTGAGGAGGAGGAGGAGGAGGAGCGCAAAGTGACTGCTGAGCCCAAGTGTTTCTGGACAGAGGTGAGGGAAAGGCTGCCCGCAATGGGCTTTGGTGGAACACTTTTGAGAAGAGGAAATGATCCCACATCACAACCATCTCATTTCTGAAGTGGAATACACCAAAAGAGCAGGCTAAACAGGGCTCAACCTGCTTTGGACATTCAAGAATGTCCCTTGGTGCCGTTTCAGCCAATCCTTTCGAAGAGGCCTTCACTGTCTAACCACCGTCCCAAACGTCTCACGCTACCTCCGGACTCCGGACTGCTGCTGATTCCACCGCACCGGTTCCACGGCACGCAGCGATGGCTTCGGTCCGAAGGGTCCCGTCCACGGTTCCAGGTCTTGAAACCCATCCAGTCGCCCTTCTTACACGAAGGGCTCTTGGACTTGGACCGCCAGCGGCTCTTCTTCGACGGCGGCAACAGCGGGTCCGGCGGGTCTGCGGCGGAGTTCCCGGAGCTCGGGGCGCTGAGAAGCCATTGGCTGGAACTGTTGGAGGAGTGGCAACAGCTTTGGAGCAAGCATCGGGCACCTGGGGCGAAGGATTATTTATTTATTTTTTCAGGGGTAAGTGTGGCAGGGTTGGGTTGGTCCAGGAGGAGGAGAGGAAAAGCGACACTCAGAGAAGATTTTTCAAAGATCTTAGTTAAACATCTTCGTTTTGGAAGTAATCAGGAGGGGAGTCCAACAAATTCGACGCTCAATTCATCAGACTGCTCCAGTGAAGCAACAAAACTAAATTTGCTCAGTCAACTAGTTTTTAGATGTTTCATTGAGCAACTTGGTTATGAACTGTGGAGGCTCAAGCGGATAAAAGGCCGCCAGCTGTTGTATTTTTCATCCAGGGAGCAATGCCTATCCCCACAAAACCACCCAAGCCATCCTCTGCCTTTGCAGAGATCGAATTTGATCTTCTGCGTGAAGACTTTCTAGCCAAGTTTGAACGAGTCCATGCTCGCTTGAACCGGTTGGAGGCCAAGCTCGACAAACTGGCCACGGGTGATGTCGCAGATAGTGCGACGGGTGATGGTGCCATCACTTGTGGAATAGCCATTGGTGATGTTTTACCAGAAGGTGAAGCCGAAGGGAATGAGTTGCCGCTGCCAACGGGAAACCCCAGCGATCCAAGAATGGCCGCCGAAGGGAATGGGTCACTTGGTCAGACCATCGGTGCCAAAACAGACCTGACTGGCATCAGCTGCTCATTGGCGAGTGTGGCTGAAGATCCAGAAGATCAGCTGGGTTTGGTGCCTTTTTCGGAAAGTGCTTGGACCTACCCGGTGGTCATTGGCTTGGTGCGAGCAGGTGTGGTGGAGGCCATCTTTGCTGTGCTGCTGTTGCTCGTGAATCTCTTCATGCAGATGGCCTTTATGATCGTCATCCTGACCCCCGATTTCCTCCCGGGGGACATTGCAGAGCAGATTGACTTTGCGAAGCAATGGCGCATCAGCGTGGCGCATGACCATCAAAATCTGGACTTGGCCTCGACCAGTTTAGCCAGTCGAGTGTGCAATGGCGATGGTGCATTGATCGTTTCAACACGGCAAGCTACTCTCCTTGAGCACATCGATAGTTATATGGGCTTAGCCGTGGACGCCTTTGAGCCGGGATTCTTTCAGCCTGGGGTCTTACTCTCTGTGCTATGCATCCTGCTCTGGAGCTTATGTGTCTACAAGGAGCTTCGAAGCATCTTGCATGCCTTTGAAGCTGTCAGGTTGCTCCCACGTTCCACCCAAACGATCTTGGACGGCGACGTCTTGCAGAGCCTCTCCCATGGCCGATACAAAATGCTCAAAGCAACGTACATCCTACGAACGGCCATTGCAGTGTCGCTCTTGATGTCCGGGATCCGCTGGCTGGCCCAAACGACTTCGATCACGGAAGCCCAGGGTATTTAGTTTGCCCATACACTCCATGTATGGAATATATTCCTACATTGACCCCCCGAACCATCCCAATGTATGCCAATATGACATACATGGAGCGTCTGGGTTTGGGCTTCTTCTTTTTTCTGTTCTTTTCTTTCGATCTCGCCCTTTGGGCTTCATCCTGGAAGAGGGGAGACACCAGTTTTTTCGGGTCTTGTTTCTATTTTGGCTCCTGGTTCCTTTGTTTTTCAGCTGAATGCAAGGAACTGATGCTCAACGCAGTAGCCTTGAATGCCATTCTGGATGTGGACGAGTTTCTTTTCGCAGGTTTCACTCCCATGTCGATACATCTCGCCATCCAGAGGCTGGAGCCACTGCAGATGAAGTACACTGCACGACGGAACAAGCTTGAAAGCCTTTTTCTATTCATCGTACTGCTCCTGACCTTCTTGGTGCCCTACCTGGTCCTTTTGAAGCCACAAGCTGATGCCATGCTCTCTGTGAAGCAGGAGCTTTGTTTTGGCAATCAAACATTTGTGGTGGGTCAAAATCAGCAAAGCCAAATGATTTTTGGCCTGGTGACAGCAGACATCCCCGAGGGAGGCCGCAAAAATTCTGCCCTTTCACCGATCGAGCGGGCTGTGGACATTCACAAGTTCGCTGATCCGCAAGAGGAGGCCTATTACATCGGCTTCGTCCAAACTCGAAATGTCTTTGAGGAAGAACGGAGTCGCTCCATGGCTGCAGAGACGGCGGAATTCAGCTTCTGTCCGGAAGAGGCATACTTGACGGAAGGAGGCCAGTGGTATCAGGATCCGGCCGTGGGCAGCATAGTGAATTATCGGCTGCGCACCGCGGCGGCGGTCGTGGGTCGCTTCGATCACATCAGCAACTGCCAGCAGGTCGCCGACCTCTGCGACCTGCCAGAAGCGAGATTGCTGCGGATGATCTGTGGAGTGACCTGCCGCTTGGAGTCGACGAGCCGATCGGCGGACTAATGATGACTATAGATGGGTTCATGGTTAGTTATACAATGTTATATAATGATGACTATAACTGAAGTTCCTGGCCTTTGCAGGTTGAAAGCTCCCTTTTTCCCGGGATCTGGGCCTTTGGGGCAATCTGCAGTTCTGATCCTTTTCGACTGATCCGATGAAACATCCAAGGCAAGTGTTCCGATCCTTTTGCAAGCCATTGGTACAAGGTTCCATACCATGGTTGTGCAGACAGTTGCTTGGAGCTCGCCCGGCAGACCTTGGCCTCTGAGCCATGCAAAGATCGGCCCATCGATGCTGTTTGGACTCAGATGTGGGATGACCTCTTACCGACCCTCGTCTATCTGGTGGGGGTCAACATCTACCAATCTTCAGCCCTGCCCTATCTGGAGGCCTTTGTTTCAGCCATGAAGCAAGGTGGATGTGCCACTCTGAAGCGTCCCGAGTTCAAAAACATCATCGGCGGCCAGACCTCCTGGTGCGAGGGTGATCCGGAGCTCATCCGTCCCGTCGCGTGGACCTGTCCTGAAAGCTGTGACTGCGCCACGGCCAGAGCCGGAGCCTTGCCCAGCTACTGTCCTCGAAGCTGTGCCGCTTAGGGCGTAGAGCGCCCACTGCGCGAAAACGCGTTGTGGCGCTCCTGCGGCACGTGTTGCAGTGTTCACGCGTCGAGGAGCACTCGACCGCGCCGGCGCGGGCGTTCACGTGTTTCGGCGTTCGCATCTTCACTGGGGCAAAACATCGCCCCGAGTGGTGGAAAAAAAAGGGGGGCGACGGCCGTTCTCGGCAAGTTCTTTTCCTTTTTCTTTAGGTGCAAATATCAGTGCGAAGATGAGAGTTGTCAACTCTTTCAGCTCGTTCTTGGAAAGATTTATGTCTTCCAGCAATTGGTGTTGGGTAAGAGTTGGGGTAAGAGCCATGGGTTTCCAGGTTGAATTTGTTGGTTCTCCCAGAACGAGGCTCCATGATTCGAGAAAGCTCTATTGTTGGTGCTCGGCTGGTTGCTCGTTCCATGGGCTCGGCTCAGCTGAGCTTCGCCGTCGCGCTGAGGATCAATTCTCAGCCGCTCGGCGAGCCTCTGGCGGAGCGGTCTGGACGTTCTCCGTGACGGGCCTGGAGGGAGTTGGAAGCCATGGCTTCGGAGCCGAAGAAATTCCAAGGTCAGTGAGTTGGAGCAAACTCCTTTTTCAGGAGGTCATAGAAAAGTCACTACCAGCTTCTTCCAAGTGACCTTTTTGGAGTCCCTAAGTGACCTATTAGAGGCCTAAGTGACCTCAGACCACGGGATCAAACGGTCACTTAGAAGAACCAGGAAGAAGCCCAAACTCAACACCCTGGGCTTCCGTGATCGAAGTCGTTTGGGCCAGCCAGCGAATCCCGGACATCAAGAGCGACACTGCAATGGCCGTTCGTAGGATGTACGTTGCTTTGAGCATTTGGTCACTAATTACTCTTCCTGAGGTATTGAAAAAGAAGCAGGTTTGGAGCTCTTTTTCAGGCCCCCCTTGGGGGAGTCAATGAGGACATGTCATTTCTACCGAAGATGCAGGATGTCTCCACTCCGCAGGATGTCTTCTTTCCGACATTCACCACCTCCATGTTCCGTCTGTCAAAAACTGTTGGAAAAAGCGGGGAGACCCGCTTCCTTCCCCAGGCCGATGTCCCTTTTTTCGACACCGCCCTTGGGCTGGGGCGCCCGTTCGGACACCGGAAACCGGTAACCGGACCGTCCATGTTCCTCCGTTCGCCATTCCACGAGCCGCCATCGCCGGTGGAGGCCTTCGAAGGCCACGTGGGATGGATGTCCTTCCCGCTGAAGCTCTGGGGCTTCGATCTGCCGCGCCAGATGGCCTTGGCGCCCAAGGCGACCGAGCTCATGAGGACTAGACTAGTCGAGTGGGTTCACGTGGGCGACGAAGAAAGACTGAGGACGAGCGTATTGATGAAGACATCCATTGGTCCATTGGAAAGTTATAAGCTAAACTAAGTCAAGTGAACAGTGACAGATAGGAAGGCAAACATATCTTTGTTTTCCAGACAGTTGCTCATCGGAAAAGCTTCTGGAGACCGAGTTTGTAGCAGGTTCGTTGGATCATATTGGGTAGATGTTGGACCAGCGGATAGAAGTGGATCGATACATTTGCAGGCACATTGTGTTGACAGTTGCATGCACAACTTCGTTGAATAGTTCAAGTGCCCAGACATAGATGTACCTAGATGGTACCTGTACTTATAGACTTTGCACTCTAGGTTACTCTGTTATAAGACATCCATTGGGCGAAAAACCTCGTTTTCCTTGCTCCTCGCGGAATCCGCTCCTTGGACCTGAACATGTGTTCTTTTTCGCTCCTCGGGCGAGCGCGTGAAACACCTTCTTCCTTCTTCACCAGCTCCAGCGGCAGTTCTGCACAGAACTGAACTGAACGATGAACCCCAAAAGAGCCCAGTCGCCTTGCCCTTTCGGATCCCTCGATCCGGTGCGCGGGATCCGTCCGCTGGACGCGTGGACCGAGCTTCACGTCCGCTGGGCCGACGCGGTGAGGACTTGTGGGATTCAGGGACTCACCACCTTCACCTACAGTGCGCTGTCGTCTTTTCCCGGCGCGTCGAACGGCGCCCGCCCGTGCCCTCTCGACCGCGTGCGTGCGTGCGTTCTGACCGGGGCGTCGGAGGACGGCGGAGGACTGGGAATCACCCCACGCCCACGAAAAGACGCGCGGTGGCGTATAGTTCGCGTTCTTCTCCTTATTCTTTGGTGCGTGAGCGCATGACGGACGCGGAGGCTCATCACAGACGCCGAGATCATCACCCACCCTGTCGTCTTTGATGTCCTACAGACGGAATTTGCATGAATGTGCGCCTCTTTCCTTTCCAAGAACGGGGGGAATGGGTCAAACACCATGTAGCCCCTGGTCCACCATGTCCGGAGCCTCCTCTCCGTCCACGGACCTAGCTTTTCCTCTCTCCCCGGTCTTCACCTGCCCAAGGTGTTTTGGAGCCCGGTTGTCACATCAAGCCGCACCGGGAGCACGTGGGCACCTCCGGCGTCCGAGCCCATTTGGGGCTCCAAATCCCGCCCTGCTGCGCGGTGCGCGTGGGTCCCAACGCGCTGAAGTGGCGCGAGGGGCACTGGACGGTCTTCAACGGCGACTCGGGGCAGTTTCGACGGTGCCCGGTGGGTATCCTAGGCCCGGATTGGCCGGATTGGATAGGCTAGCCGGGAGTTCTATGCCGAGAATTGATTGGAGAATTTGAGGGAGAGATTCCAAGATTCCGCTTGGAAGTGTGGTGGGGGGGTGTACACTGCAGGGCGAACATAGGATTGTTTTGGTTTGGGGCAGCCCGTCCAGTCTCCAGCCTAGAAGAAGGTCCATCCACTTCCACTTCCGCGCCTGCCCACGTAAGCCTGAAATTGGACGATACCAAAAGGATGCAAGGATTGTGGACTGGGGAGCTTGCATAGTTCAAACGGCGCCTGCCCCACCCTTCGCCGACTCGAAACCAGACCGACTCGCACGCTGCGGACAGTCCTTCACAGGGTGCGGACACAGCCCGGGCTTTTCGGGGCTTCCCGGGCTGTTCTTCCTCTGGAAACTCCGCCCCCTTGGGCGGCCCAAGCCGCGGCCCTCGCCAGCTCGCCCCCCTTGGCACGTCGCGGCGTCCGGAATTCCTTCCGACCAAGGAAACCGGAGCCATGAGGTGCTGAACATGGATCGGAAGGTGAGGGTTTTCTCACATGGATGGGCCAAAACCTGGAGCCCTTGATCCACCATGTAGCTTGACCTTCCGGGCAAGGTATCCTGATGTTGACCCACAGCCACATTGCCAAGCCGATCTGAGCGGTGTTCATCGAACTGACACCGAACTGAGTGGCGAAGAACTTCCGAAAAACATGGAACACACCATGTCCTGCTTCGATCGAAGAAGGGTCCCAGCTGCAGAAATTCCCACCCAAACTTCACGACACCTTGAGAGCAGCGACTTCCCCCTCAGGGCCTCCGGATGGTGTGCTCCGCGTGGAGTGGCGTGGCGCGAACGAAGCGAGCGCTTCTCCAGGAGCGTGTGGTGCTGTTGATCGACTTCGGTGGTCCAGCCGCCTGCCCGTGTGAACAACCAGGACCTGAGCCGTACGTGACCTCTTTGGAGTCTCTAAGTGACCTCTAAAAATAGTCTAAGTGACCTCAGACCACGGGATCTCAAGTTCGGTCACTTTGAAGGTCCTGGAACATGAATGATCATAAATTAAATAAACATATAAATGAGAGTCACCTCATCTTACAAATGTAACAACATGAATAAAACTGATCCGGTCGTTATCGCGAACAAGACCGCGACGCGAAAAAACGCACGGAGCCTGGTGGTTGACTGGAAACTATAGGGACTGCCAAAGTCCATCCAAGTCCCTATAGTGTAAGCATACTTATAAGATCTTGTAAGCTTGTGAATGATCTTTAAAACTCTATTGTAAGACTTTGTCAGACCTCCAAAAATGTAGCCAATCTTGAAAGGGACGCCGATCTCAAAAAAGGCCCCTGGCTTCGCCATGCTCCGCTGACGCGAGCAGGATTTTCGTTGGTCGAGTTGCCATTTCGCGAGGGTGAGAGAAGGAACACCAGGAGTTGCCGTTTTGAGGTTCTGCATGGTTTTGCTGGTTCCTCTTGAAAAGCGGATCACACCGGAGAACTCACGGGTCACCGAGATCTCCAACAGGGCCGACCACCCTCTGACCGGGGCGGTCGGTGCTGCTGGTTGTGTCCGCTCGACCGAGGTCTTGAAGCCGCAGAGGTGGCCCAAGTGGCTTCAAGAGCGCATGGAAGCCAATGGCGTCCATTTCGAGAAGACAGAGAAAGAGAGCGAAGAGAAGGATGCAGATGACCCAGATGGAGCACCCCGCCCCGGTCTCAGTCTTTGGGAAGTGGAGCTTTTTAGACCAACCCGGCAAAAGGAGGAGTCTGAGTTGAAGGTCAAGGTGGAGTCGGGAGCGGAGCCGGGAGCGGTTGAAGGCCCATCTCACCGGTGTTCTGGAGATTTTTCTTCGAAATTAGCACCACCGTTCGAGTGTATATTCTATAAAAGGGAGACCCTCCAATCGCCTCAGTGGGTAGACTGGTCTATCTTCCTTTTTGCAGGGACTCAAACTGGGAGGTCTCCCTATATTAACTATAACTATTCTTGTATACCCATTCGTCGCATCAGGCCCCTTGAACCTCAGATGCCTCCCCATGGCGTGAGCGAGGCGCACCACAGCCTCACACCCTCTGCGTCACCACACACCACTCCTTGGAGGAGATCTGACACCATGGCATGACGATTTAGCGGAAAAAGCTTGACCCTACCTCTGAGTGCGTTCGAGAGAAACTGTAGGGCAGCGGAAGAATGATACATCATCAAGTCATAAGATGCAGAGCGCCCGACAGCATCCATTTGTTGCGATAGGACTTTTGATCGATGCAACCGTGTAGCAGACGACCCAACTACAAAAGCCATGCACCCTGGGATTCCAACAACCACTCTTGTAGTAGTGTTTTTAATGGTCCCTGCGATTCCACGAACAGACCCCCCTATTCACAGGATACCACTTGATCCAGATCTTCGGTCGTTCAAGTCATGCTACCAAGTCATGGTTTCCTGCTGCTCCAGTGAAAAACCATAAAGGGTGACTGGCAGGGTACCCAAGCTGCCAAGGCTCGGCCCACCAGGTGCTTTTGCAGGAAGGAGTTGCCTTGGAACCATCTCTTTCCCAATTCTACAATTCCAGGTATCCACCCACAGAGGTTTGAAGGAACCTGAGTTCGACTATCCCAGCTGGGTACCCCAGGTACCGAATGGTCCTATGGTCACGGTCACGTCATCCACCTCTCCGTCGTCGCCGGTGGCCATGGAACGGGCAGTAACCGCCCGGGGGGGGAGGATGAAAACGGTGCACCCGGAGCGGGGAATTGCTGGGCTTTTGCTTTAAACAAAACCTGGCAGGGGGGAATGTTCTTAATTTTTTTGGTTCCTTGAGCAAAGCCAAGCTTTTTTCGAGGTCGCGTCGAAGTGGCTCGCGCTGCTGAAGGTCAATGATGCTGGCCAAAGTGCCGGCGAGATGAATCTGCGCGGAGCAGCAGGGAACACACCGGTTGGTCTTTCGCATAGAAGGATTTTGTTGATTGGCATCATGAAGGTCTTTGTTAGGAACTTGGAAGCTACCTAACCTAACCAATTCCTCAGTCAATTGTACATGGTTGGTCTCAAATTCATGGCTTAGCTATATGTCAAATTCCTCATCATTGGGCATCATTTTTCCCAGCCACTAGCTTCCAAATCTCTGTACACCATCGATTTCACCCTCTGCAACGTCAGAGGCAACGCGCCGTGTGCTGAGAAACCATTCGAGGGGACCCAGTGCCAACTGCTTTAAAGAGACGTATGAGGGTGTGGCCCGGCAAACCAGTCTAGCCAATGCCCTAGAAGTCCAAAGGCTATATTTTGACCGGCTGAAGTAAAGGAAGTTCCCTTTCAGGTCCCCTAAAGACCATTCCTTTTATAGTCTGACCGACTCCCAGGGAATGGAAAAGACGATTCTTGAGAAAAGCATGCAACCTAACCATCATCATCCACTGTTCCGGGTCGGGGATGCAAACCCCTCGCTTCGTGCTCACACTCAGAGACGACCCCCGAGGGAGCTGATTTTCTCCCACGCTTCGGTTGGAGCTCCGCGGAGCCCGCGGCGCCGGTGCCGCTGCGAGGTACGTAGACAGAAAGCCCCGAGACATAAGACAGACATAGACCCTACGTACGTCCAGTCTGACCAGGTGTTCTACCTGGTCCTGAACACCTCCAAACTTGTAGATTTGTTTTTGTACCATCCAAATCTTGGCGGACCATCCAAACATGTCAAGAAAAGCAGACGGATTGGCCTCAGTTGCATTTGGTCACATGTATTTCTGGAACATCACGTGGCGCACCCAAAAAAGAGACCATCCGCGTCGTCCTTTTCTCCCCTGCGCACCATTCGTCACCAACCAGAAAGACACCACAGACACACCATGTCGACACTACCGGACATGTTGCATTCATCATCTTCCTGAAAACGAGCACCTGTTCTTTCCCATGGTCCCATCACAGGAGTCCCATGTCGTCACCGGACTTCCTGCGATTCATGTGATTCCCACGTCGTCCCAGGTCGTCGTTGGTTCCAAAGAACTCACCATGGCCATCCACGACCAGACCCCGGTGGGACATACCATGGCCGAAGGGACATACCGAACTGGGAGCATTCTTTGCGTTGCTTCTAGGCTCATTTTGAGCGGGACACACACATATTGACCAACGAGCCTGAAATTCAGCAGACTTTCGTTATCCAGACACTTGGGAAAAAACAAGAGGGAGACACTTGGGAGTCCCTTGGCACTTTTCCATTGGAACGTGAATATCGCGCGGACGCGCCCTTTTCAGCCATGTAGCTACCTGCAGTCTACGTCTTTCGCTGTTTCTGCCGAGTCTGCGGACCTTCTGCAAAACCCTCCCTCGTCGAACCGCTCCAACCCTTCGCCGCAGCAGAACGAAAAAAGACTACGACCCAACAAGCGGAGAGATGATCTCTGAGGCCCCGGGTCGCACATCATGGCACCTCAACCAAGCAAACCATGGGTTTCGGTTTGACATCCCTTAGATCGACGGAATCTGTTCATGTGATCCGTGGTCCACCGGGGTGTTCTTCGGTGCCCTGGTTTTGCCCTATGTCGCCATGGTGATGTTCACCTTGGAGCTCGTCATGGAGGAGCTCCAGGTGCCAGAGTTGTGCTCCGTGCGGTGACAGCTAGGGCGGAGCTGCGAAAAGGAAGGGGCATCCAAGAATCAAACGGTGCCGAGGAGAATTTTCAATACAAACTTGGGGGTTCTTATACAAGAGTCATACATGCTTTTGAAGTCTAGGTCTATGCTATACCAGCTGCCCACGTTTTTGCCCGTCGATCTCTGTGCAGGACGGCGCCGGGCTGTTCATTTGATGGTTTGAGTTCGCCGTTCATTCCCCACAGTTTACTGTTGGAGTTCTCTTTTACCGTATGTCATATTGGCACACATTGGGATGGTTTGGGGGGGTCAATGTAGGAATATATTCCATACCAGCACGGAAGGGGTGGTTATTGGATGGAACATACATAGTCAGAGGTGTCCATAAACCACCCCTTCCGTGGTGCTGGTACATGGAATGTATGGGTTAGGAAAGATACGAAACTGTTTGGGGTCTATCCTGGCATCATTTTCTTCGCACGGTGCAAGTTGAAGAGTTGAAGGCTCATTAGAGTCGGAGCAAATGCACGTTTGGCCGGAGTTTCCAAAGACGCACGACTCCAGAATCAACTTTCCTGTTGAGGTTGCACACAAAACGCACGTTTTCATAAATGTTCTAGAGTTACATGTAGCGACCAGCTGCTCTTGCTTGCAATGCCTGTAAAGCAGCTTTAAGTTTTCTGCGCATGGTGCCTAAACCTCATTCCTTCTCACTTGATGCAGCTCTGCCGGGAACCAAAAACGGAAACGCTTCCCACCATCCCAAAGAAGCACGGAACCCGCGCTCCGCGCTGCCGTGCGCAGCGCGGAGCGCGCGCACGGCTCCGAATCGCTCCGCCTCAGGGCTGGCGCCCACGCAGCAGGCGAGACGCCGTCGCCGCCCGCGTGGCGAACGACGCAGGACCACGACGCACGAAACGATGCACGAACCGGGCGCAGCAGGGTTGGGTCGTCCAAGCGGTCACTGCCGGTGGGATTTCTGTGGATCGGGGGCAGGGTTGGGTGTGATGAAAATTGATTTGGCGGAAGATGAACAGCACAGACGACCTACAGGTCAACCTACCAGGGATTCAGGGTTCCTAGTGCCATGACCCCAGTTTGCCAGGTGTGCCTTGGCGTTGCGACTCGGAGAAGAGCCCCTGACCTTGCTGGAGGAGACGACTGGAGATGTTGGGGGGGAAGGAGACTGGGTGAGGAGACGACTTGGGAGGATGAGCCCTGAGGAGACGACTGGAGCCTCCTTCTTTGAGGGGAGAGAAATCACACCTTTTAAGACCAGGACCATCCGACCATCGGGGTGTCCTAGCTGGACTACCCTACATTGCTTAGGGATCTCCAGACAGGACACACAGACAGGATGGTCCAGGTAGAAGAGGGTCAGTTTTCTTTTCAGAATGCACTAGCCAATGCTTTTCATGGTCCGACCTGAAGCATGGAAAACCTTGAAATGTCCAAGCCATTAACAGTTGATTTGTCCCACCTGTGTCTCCTGCCTCTCGTGCCTGTGTCTCCCTTGGGCTGGGGCCGCTCTCGGTGTTTGGGATGATTCTTGGGGTTTCGCTGACTTCACTGACTTCCATCTTCCCATGTCCTTCAATCCAAGATCTTGCAAATGATAGAAGTGTTCAGAAGGTCAAGCTGGATTTTTGCACACCGACTGCACCTGAAAAAGTCGCCCCCCAGATGATCATTGGTCATTTGCAACACCCATTGTGAAAGACCACTCTCCTGCCCACAGATGTAGAAGCCAAGCACTTATATATATACACCGGGACCGGTTTTTGGACACCCCTTAAGCTCTAGGAGCCTATTTTGTAGACACCTCTTGGAAGGTCCTGGTCTGTATTATTGGCATTTTTTTCACTTCCACGTATAACTACAGGAGGGTATCCCAGAATCCCAGAAACACCCGGGAAAACCAGCATGGGCCGCCCACTCTGCCCGATTGCCCGAATCACCCGTCGTGCTGGCCGCCGTTGGCCTCGGGCACCCAGGGTGGCCAGGGCGAAGATGTCCGTGGCCAGGGCAAGGCGCATCTCCGATCCAAGAATTCTTCCTTCAATGAGAGGTGCAACACTGTTCTTCCTCTCCTTTTTGTCTGGGCCTTTTTTTTGGGCGGGAGGAGGGTGGGGCCAAGAAAGATGATACAACTCAAGTTCTGACTCTGAGATCTTTCTTGTGTTGTCGTGGGTAGAGTTTACGGCAAAATACACCTTTAGAATCCTTTAGATTCAGATACACAAATTATTACCTCTTGACTGCCTTCATCTCGTCTCTCGAACTTCGATTGACGATGATCAGAGACTTTTCCACCGGTGGTGGGAACCCCTTCATCTTCCCGGTTTCTCTGTGTAACTGGGGAAGACCTGCAGAATAGCTTCTAAGGACAAGGATTTATCAGTCAACATACTTTTAACAATGATCCTTTCGGGCAAGTATAACAGTTTCTTGGCTTAGGTGACTTCCAATTTGCATCTCTTAAACAAGAAGAAAAGTATGACTTTATACAGTTGCGGTTGTCAGGAGGGTTTTGGAAGACTCTGTTCGACACAACCAGATGCTAAAAACAATGTGACGAACTACAGGAGGATCTCCCTCGACATTCATCTCCCTCGACATAGGCACCTGCAGCCGAAGAGATTCGTGTGACACCAGCGCCAGTGGGGCCGGAGAGTGGGGCTCCTCCATACGACGGACGCCCGAAAGAGACGCACTCCCTGCCAACGCTGCAGGCCTTGGTCTTCGACTTGCCCGAGGTCCTGCTGGAGCAGACCCTTCCGTCGATCGGTCAAACAGATTGGGTTGTTTCGAAAGAGGAAGGCCAGGAGAATGTGGGCCTGTGGGGTGAGGCGGTAAACCCGCTTTTGAGCAATTCTGGGTATGTCAGAATTGAATGCCATCATACCATCCATGGGACCCAGATCTCTCTCTCTCTGGTTTGGCTTTTCCTCGTAGCTCCGCCCCCGGGACATGGATTGTTACCTTCTCGGGCCTGGGGGGTTGAAGTATCATCCGGCCCAGCGGATTATTCACAGCGCTTCGCCCGCACGGAGTGCGTCTGTATGTCTCGGTCGGTCTGTCGCAGTCTGTCTGTCTCCGCGTGTTTGTCTCGGTATGTTTTGTCTCGGCCGGCCGGACAGGACACACGGACGCACACGCCTACGATGTCAATAATGCAGTCGCCCCCGGTGTGCATAATTGGCATCGCGCATGTTTACCGCCGAAGCCACACGGACAGTCATCCACACGATATGTTTTTGGACTATTTTCAAAAAGGCTCAAGGGCATAGCATTCTAGACACGCGCCCCCCCCCCAAAGCTAACGCTTGAGCTTGTTATTTAGCAGCTGCGTGCGGACTATTCCAGTTGGTTGCCTACATTACCACAGGCGTTCGGGCAACTTTAGGGTCCTTCCCAGTAATTTCTCTGTTCGTTTCCGATGAAACCTTTGGGCGCGGGTTAGGAAGTACTGCAACGCGATGTCACTGCACAGCTCTTTTTGGAGCTGCTGTTGCAGAGGCCAACACTGCATCATGTGCAAGTGCATGTTTTTCATCTGCAGAAGCGTGAGGCCTTTCTCTTTCAAGATTTTCAAGGCTCATTTAGGTCAGCGGAAGAGACAGAAAAACATAAACAAGACACAACACCCGCATTCCCTCATGACTTTCCATTGGGCCCCAACTCTTTACCGGACTGTAAGCCTGGAGGAGTGCGCGGCACGTGCTGAGGCTCTGGATCATGCTGCTGATGCTGCCCGACCTCATGGTGAGGCGCCTGTGCTACACAGAAGTCAGCGGAACGGTACCCGGAACGGTGCCCCGACCGGTGCCCAACCAAACACCTGCAGGAGAACGGTGCCCCGAACGGCCAAACAGGTCGACCTCCTATGCCCAACAGGTCGTTCTCCGTTCCGAGCGTGCCTCCGGCGGTTCGTTGCACCGAGGTCGGCCGATCTGGTGGCCTCTTGCTGCCTGGATTTGCGACATGAGGCGCCTTGGACGAGTCAGACTCGAGCATCTGGCGATCGCCGACCCTCGGTCCTCTCGGTCGCGCGCGGGTGAGGAGTTGAAGCAGTTCCTGGTCTCCCTTTTTTCTGGGTTGTGAGAGAGAGAGAGAGATCAGGTAGACATCTCCTCCTCAAAATTTCGCTCATTACCTTTCAGACTCGTCTTCATCGCCTGCAGTCGCTGCAAGCGGCACCATGGGTCCGGCCCGGTTCAGGCCAAAGACAGGGCCTTCCCCAATGCCAGACATGCGCGACATGCGCATGTCGGCGATTCCAAAGCTACGGCTGGCCTGTTCGTAGAGGAAACTCCTCTTCCTTGAAAGGGGTCCAACGTCCACAGACCCCGGAGGGAGGAAAGAAACTCCCCGCTCCGCTCCTTTCAGCCTTGTGCAGGTTGCAGCAGCGCTGGAAGGCAGGATGGGTCATTTCGAGGGACCAAATCTTGCAGACGCAAGTGATGGCCCTCACCTGGGCGTGTTTGTTGGTCGTGGGTTTTTAAGCCAGGTGCTTTTTGTGCGCAAATCTTTTTGTGGGCGGTCGGCGGTTGGGCAAGTCTTCTTGCTGTTTTGTGAGCCAGGTGCTTTTTCGTATGAAAACGTCAATCAAGCAACCAACCCTGTTTGTTGACTGTGTGAATGTCATCGGGTAGCAGAAGCCGCAAGAGTTTGTGATGTTGGAGCGTGGATCACTGTGAGCAGAGGCTGCTGGTGCTTTTCTCGACAGCCATTTTTTCGAAAACACAACACAGCCACACAGAAAGCAAGCTCTCAAAAGCTGCAAGTACAGCTGCCCACACGAATGATGAGACTGAAGTCTTGGGGGATTGGACATCCGAATGATGAGACTGAAGTACTAGTCTTCCAAGATCTTTTGTTAATTCATCTTTTCATCAAAATCCGAGTCTTCCAAAATCATCTAACATCTAGTCTTCCAAAATCTTCTCATCAATTCATCTGCCAAAGATTGGAGACAGATCCTTTTGGATTGGCAGCTTCTTCCACCGATGCCCATCCCGTCCCATCTTTCCACGCTTCAACCTGGACCGCGCTTCAACCGCTCCCGCTCCGCCGCTCCGCCAGGCGAGGGGGCGCCCATGTTCCGCCGGTGCCACTATGGGACCGAGCACGGCAGCACCACGGGGCTCGAGCGTCGGACGTCCGAGCGAAGCGCGGATCGATCGGGTGATCCAACGAGTCCGAGGATCGGTCGGTCGGTCGTCGCGGGGAGGTCAAGGTCGCACCGGTGAAAACCAAGGGAGAACGGTGGCACCCGGTTTGGAACAGGGTCCATTAATGAGTTTGGAACAGGGTTTTCGTCGAGCTTTTCGGTCTGGAGCCTCCACCGTTTCTCCAGCCAGCTGTGTGTTTTTTCCCAGATTTGGTGGTTTACCTCATGGGGGAACTTTCTGTCAGGACACCTGGCGGAATAGCGGCCTTGGGAGCGATTCGGGGCTTTCTTCACGGGAAAACCTCTAGCCTCTAGCCATCGTAAACATATCAGGCACGGGACACCAGTATAGCCGTATAGTCGTCAGACAAAGAGAACGTCAGGATGTTTGAGTTGAAAAGGCACACAACCCAACCATCATCATCCACTGGGCCCTGGTAATGGGATAATTCCAAACCATGGTTGAATCAGCAAACTCTTGGGCTGTCTGTCCTGTCGAGCGGAGCGTAGAGGTATACGAGGCAAACCACCCAGCGCAACCACCCAGGAATGCTTTTCATGTTACTTTGGGCGAGTATTTGATCAGTGCATTTCAGGCCAATAGTACAAGAAGTGGTTGCAAGAGAGACGTGTTTAAACTCTTTTCTCCATGCTCAAAGTGAGTGAGATCTCAGGAAAACGTGCACCAACTCGGGTGAATTTGGAGGTTATAGACCTGCTAAATGTCCATCGACCCGGAGCGACCTCAACCGGGTGAGCCAGTCATGCGCACCACGTGCGCCATTTTTGAGCCGTTGGTTCCAGCCGAAGACCGCTGAAGTCACGAAGCAGTTCATAGATCTCATGGAGTCTTCAATGTGTTGGTTGGACATGCAACTTGTTTTTGCTCAAGCCACTTCCATATAGCATTGGCCGAATCGACTGTCAAGATTTGATTGCTTGAGCTGCTTGAGCCGCTAGCCTACGGTCCTACCCATGGTGCACTATGAGGCGGGGCGTGTATTGGAGGATAAGGGGTCCCCATTATCCACTCACTTAGGTACTCAAAACGATTTCTTTTGGGAACTGCTGGCAGGGATGGGTCTTGAAACTTCTGAAGCTGCCATTTTCTTGACCAACATGGATCAATTCATTCAACCAGAGAGAGTCTCTCTGGCAAAGAAAGGGTTCTTCACCAGAGTTCCTGGCATCCAGAACTCAAGTCATTTCCAAGGCACCCGTTGCGTTCTTTTTCTGTGCTCTAGAAGGGTCTTTGGGCTTTGGAGCCTTTGGAGCCTTAGCCAAAAAGGCTCAAGAAGAGTACTGACCTGGTTTAGGGTTTGTAGTCTGGCTAAGCTAAGCCAGGTTTAAAACCAGGTTTCTTAGTACCTGGTTCCAGTCAAGAAGGTTGTGGTTCGACAGCTTCCTGACTGGACCCCCGCACTCGTTACCATCGGCTCCGCTGTAGCTAAGGGAGCCGATGGACCGCCACACGTGTGGCGGACCAGCTACGTCCGTCGTTCCTCCTTCCGTCTGGAAATTGGACCATCAAAAAAGGATTGACCAGGTTTTTGTAGTCCCAAATCTATAAAACAAGGGCTGTTCACAATGGTGGTTTGGTAAGAACCATTACAATACATCAATGGTGGTTGGAATATTAGGATGATGTACACGCCGGCACTGGAGGTGTCAGGGTCGACAAGCCATGTTTTACAGGTCGAGGGCAGAGAAAACCCTCAAATTCCAAGATAGCTTTGAGGGCATTGGATACCAGAGAGTCCATCCCACTCCAAGTCCCTTTCATCCCCAAAAAGGTTCACCCAAAATCCAACCTGCAGACCCGAAAAGGCGGGTGCGTCCGTTGCCTGGAGTGTACTAAACTCAGACTCTGCATGCGGACGGGTGAAGGAGCAGCGGAAAGAGGCGGATACATTTTGGATTTGACCTCAAGCAAGCTCCAATCCACGGACCAACCCATAGATGGCCTAGATGGCCTTTCCCTATTTATTGGTTTGTAGGCGACCAAGTCCAGTGAATGGCGCTCTGAGCTATCTATGACTCGCAGTGCTGTTCACTTGAGCGGAGCAGGTGGTGGCGGTCGCCGAGTTGGGGGGAGCCCTCGTGCGGGAGGGGAAGAGCTTCTCGGCGGCTGTTGGAGGGTCGGGCGGTTCCGCTGAGTTCCTGGCGTGAGGCCCAAGCCAGCATCGGCGCTCAGGGTCATGGCACCTGGTTTTGCCCGGTAGGTGGGCTTTCGACTCGTAGTCCATTCTGTTCATTTTCTCTGGTCAACCCAGGTAGTCTGGTGCCATGATATTTGAAATGGACCGACCGAAAAACCAAAACCCGCATCAGCCCCACATACAGAAGTGCGCAGCTTCCCAAAGCGCCCCTGGGCTTGTCCAATTGACAGTTTTGTGTGATGGATCAAAACCGGGGGAGCCTTGTTTGACCAGTCCAAATGAGCAGATTCAACCTGGCCGTTGGTTTGCACGGGGAAGGTTTTGAGGCTCCAGACCACATTTCAGAGCTGAAGAAGCAATGATGCAAATATTGCATGACTTACTGTTGTGACCCACAAGCAACACTTTTGCGGCCGAACAACATTCCGGCTTTCCAGCCAAGACATGTTGTTTTGCTGACCAGGCCCAAGCACAGGTGTCGATTTGTGCCATTGTTGGTCTTCTTACTGTTGGTTGATTGACCAATGGAGGGGGATAACCTCAATAGGTATATGGTACCAAAGACCCCCTTGTTCTCAAAAGGACCTCATTGATTCGTGCAGGGTGGGTGACGCTTCTGCACACCAGAGGGTCTTTGACGCTCGCCAGACCTTGTCTGGCGACTCTTCGGTGAACCGCCGCAGCTGCGAACGCACGCACGCACGCATGCCCCCGGTTTGGTTTTGGAGGCTTTCGGGGTGAATCTTTGTTAATTTTTCAATGACAACACCCAACGCTACGACAGTTGAGTAGAAACCTACGATGGCATCGGAGTTCTCGGGAGGTGAATCCCCCTGGCATTTCGGACGATTCTTCGACGCACCCAGGTTTGACCTCTCAGCAGCTGGCCCGTTTGGGTGTAGGCGTGGCAGGGTTAGGTGGTGGGAGGTTTCCGAAGGTCATGGCGCTGCAAGACAACAAAAAAAACAAGCAGCTGCAAGGTTGAAGTGGACACGAACCTAGAACATGACTAAGAGACCTCTGTTTTGATAGGACAAAAACAATTTTTGGGGTGGTTGGTGAGCTCTAGCTCTAGCTATGTTTGAATTACACCGGATCAGTGATGTAAAGCTCCTGTAGAGTCAGACACTGGTCTCCTTTGTTCAGAACCTTGAAAGGTCCCAAACCTGATCCTGAATACATGCAGCATTACAGTCAAAAGATACTACATAATGTTCGCGATGCCTTGTAGATACCTTGCATCGTTTGCATTTCAAATGTCTAAGTGGTCCTACAACACTCCCACAAAAACATAATCCGTTTATGGCTCCGGGGCCGCGACCCGAACGCTCGACGACCAGGCGCTGTGATCAATGAGCTGGAACGCGCCGGGCGAGCCCAGCTGCTTCGAGTTCGAGCGAGTTCGAGCCCAGCACGACGACTCACTGGTTGCTGCAATGAAATCTTCCAAATGTCTTCTCTCAGAGTGAGGATTCGCGTATCAGAAGAGCCCAGGTCGGTCCCTGTAGTCAATAGAAAAGGGCCCAGGCCAGAAACCGGCGCACATGTCTCATCATGAGCTTGCCAGTCCTCCAAGTCGATGCGCTGCTTGGCTTCAAGCCCATCTCTCCACCCTACAGTCTCCTACAACAGCTCGACCTCTTCCACAACATCTTCACCTTCTCCAGAAAGAAAGAAAACCAACCGACCGATCCACCCTCCGTTGAACCCACTCTTTCACCTTCGCTGCACATGCTTTTGGCCGACCTCTTTGCACTCCGGATCCCTTCGGTTCCGCTTCGCTCGTGCTCCTCGTCTCCTCTCTCACCGTCCCTCTCGCTCTCGCCCACGCCTCGAAGACGAAACGAAGACGATGACCCGTCCCACGCCTCCGAGGCGGGGGAACGTCTTCGCTTCAAGAAGGTCTCAGGCCGCCGACCCGAGACCGGCGCGTCCACGTCCACCACGCGCCGCGCCGGGCGACCGGCGGACGGTCGTGTCGGCGCTGAGACGGCAGTCACGGCGCGGCAAGCGGGTGGTGGTGTCTCTATCGCGTGCAAGGAAGACAGGGGGGCTGGGCACCGGGGGATGCTGGGTTTCGGAGGTGTGACAAAGGCGGTGGAGCAGAGTCCTCTTCCTGTCCATTTGTTTTTTTGAGAGGGTGCAGATCAGGTGCAGATCAGGCTGATACAAATCCATTGCTGAGAATTTCTGACGAATTTCTGCCCTGTTCATTTCATGGTTCTCCTTGTTTTGGGCGAAACTCTGTCACTTCACTTGCCACATAGCAGGCGGAGCGCCGTGCCGTGCCGTCTATCTTCTGAGTCAGAGTGGGCGATCCTCCGAACGGGTCAACGAGTTAGGGGAGGATGTACTGGAGTAACGGCCAGACGTTAACGTCCAGACTTTGACTGAACAGAAGTATTGGACTTTGATGTCAGGAGTACTGGAGTCAACTGATTCTTCCAACTGTCTCAATCAACTGTGATGTCACAGATCTCTTACCAAAACCAGGCCTGCTTCTTCATCTGGAATCAGGAGTTGGGTGGCTTTGTGGCTTTGTGGATTTCACCGGTGTACCGGTAGCAAACAACCAATGGGCGCCACCCAACACGTCTTTCCACCGGAGACCGGACGAGCCGGATCTGCTCGGCTCGGCTCGCCACGCCGAGCGGCGGAGACGAAGGCTCCGGTCCGGAGAGTGGATGGGTCAGCGCGGAGGCTCAGTGCCGCCACACCTGAGCGGATCGTGCAACCTGGTGTTTTTTTTTTTTTCGGGGGCCGGGCTTGGACGTGAGAATCAGTGTTTTTTTTCGTTCCTTTCATTTTTAAGGGAAAAAGACAAACAGGTTCTTTTTTCCAGGCACCGGCAAGCTTGGGATTCCAAAAGGGTTCCCGATGTCCTCTTTAGTTACTGTAATTATAAGTATTTTCAGATCTGCAGCACAGGGGGTCTTACAGGAATGACACTTCTTTTTGACCTGGTTCGGGGTTACTGGATGCCTCCGTTCGCACGATTGGTCACGTCAAGGTTTGGCATCGAAGATTGACCGAGCACCCCAGACGCGCTTTCGACCGAGTCTTTCCTTTCCGACCAAGAAACCCATCTCATCATGACTGATCATGACTCAGCATTCCTTTCAGCATCCGACCGCCTCCGAACCGGTTTTCCGGTTTTCCGGCCAAAACGGAAGCCGATGACGAGCGACCTGAGCGCACCATGGGCCATCTAGGGATGGACCCATCCGAAGGCGAAGCAGGATGGACCCATCTCCGTCCGAAACTCGCCGCTTCCGCGTCGAAACTCGCGTGAAACGAAGCTCCTTCGTCAGTGACCGTCACTCGAGTGAAACGGTCGCTTTCACCCAGGTGCGAAGCTCCTAGAGAAGTGCGAGGCCACTAAGGCCGGGAGCGATTTCAGAGCGGAGACGAAGCGTGCGTCGCGAGACGCGTCGCACGCGTCACGTCGCTTCCGGTGGGCAGAGAGGGGACAAGCTTTGGATCGGCAGAACATGAGTTGCCACCATACCCAAATGTGCGAGGGAAAGGAGCGTCCTCCGGTCGAAGCAGTGTTCTTCTTCCTCGAAGCAGTGAACCACCCCATTGAGTCACGTGTCTTGTTCATTCGAAACTTCCCTCGATCGACGTGGGGCTCTACCACTACCACCCTTTGAATTCCGAGTCTACCCATTTCTGGCTTCTGGCACGACCCGGGGCTTGAGAAAGCGTACACGACATGTCCAACAAGTTTTTACATGGTACATCCCCCCACCAATACACACCCTTTGTGTGTTCTATACTGTAAATTACAGTGTTTTAGTGATATTTTGGACGCATTTTTTGAGTGATATTTTGAGACCTTTTTTCACATGATTGTTTGGAACACTTTCTGGAGGGGTGGTACCATGTTTGGGGATGATAATCTATCAGTTAATTGAAAGGGGAGTACCATATATATATATATATAGATGTCCTCAGGTGAAGATTATATCTGAGAACAAGAAGCAAACAAGAACATTATTCAAGAATCTGCATAAATCTTAAGATATCTTGAGATTTGCCTGGAACCAAGAAACCACGAACCAAGATTGCTCAGAAGTCTTGGGGATAATCTTGGTTTTCGGTTCCAAGAAAACCTTCTCATCAGAACCAAGATTTTGCCCAAGACTTCTGTGCAATCTTGGTTCTTGGTTTCTTGGTTCCAGGAAAATCTCAAGATATCTTAAGATTTCTGCAGATTTCGGAAGACTTTCGTCACACCACAGCATTTGCATCCTTTGTTCACAGCTACCAGGGGTCCGGAAGGACATTCTTTACAAATGCAATATTGGATGAATGTAGGACTATAGTCCCATCAGGTTATTTTGATAAACACATTGTAGGACTATAGTCCCATCAGAATATTTTGATAAACACATTG